CGGACGGTGTATATATTGTGCAATGTGTCAGCCAGGAGAATTTTTGTTCTAGTGTTTATATTGCAGTAGATGTATTGATGGGCAGGACCATCTTAATTTATGTACACTTTAGCTATACAAAAAATAATACAAAATTACCCCCAAAAAATTCAAGATGAGGACAAACTTGTTAATTTTTGTAAATTCTTTTTTTTGTAATTATTTATATAACTAATCATTTATAACTGGTCACATTAATACAGAATTGTGACAGGTGTTATTGTCTCTTTTACAGTGACTATGACCAATCCAATCAGGATTTAGTTTTAGAGTGTTTTGTTTTTAATTTAATTGTTTCAGAATGTGAAGATGTTATTGTACTGATCCCAGACTTAACAATATCTTTTGGTTTTGGTCATCAATTTTTGCAGTTTTGATGTTCATTTTATTTATTTATTTTTGATTGATATTCATTTTATTGAATTGCATTTTATTGCATTTTATTGCATTGCATTGCAGAGTTGGTCCTCCATATCCATGACTCATGCATGATTTTACTTTGACTCATACAGTGATATATGATTTTGGCCGTGTTCAGGAAACTTGTTTAAAAAAATAATCAGTTCTGTTTGGAGTCACTAGTGATGCAGAAATTACAGTTGCCCAGTTTTGTGTGTCTTTGCCTGGTTTGGGCCTCATTTGACCTGCCTCTGAGCTTTTTCCAAGGCCGCGGAAAGGAGAAAATGCCCACCAAATGTTTATTTTTACCAGTGGTTGGTGTATTTGCTAGTGCTGAAGCTAGAGCAGTGAAAGGAGCTCTAAAGAGAAGAAAATACATCCACACACGTCTGCAGGGAAACAGGCCCATTTCTAATCCCCCTGTATTCCTGAAATCACTATTTCCTCCTGGCGTTTCCTTCCTGGAAATTTGCGCTGTCAGTGGGTGAAAATTGTGTCCAGACTCCTCTAAGTACTCAAGCCAGAATGTCTGTTTGAATATTTGTTCAATGGACCCAAATTTAGTTGAGAAACTATTTTGGGGCAAACTATTTTGGACATTAACTTAGCTAAATAAAACGACCTTACTGTTTCTCTAAACACATGAAATTAACCCTGATGAGGGTTTAGCAGTTTTTTTGGACATCATATCTTGTGTCTGTTTGTGCAGCTTGGTTTTCTGGTTTTTGTCAGTCTCGATTTTCCATATTCATTATTTTTTTTCTTTCTTTTTTTGTTTTACTGTAAATCTTTGGAAAGTTTACTCAGTAACTGTATCAGTTCTGTCTGAGTCGACTGATTACAGATGTGAGTGTGTACAGTGAGTCTTCAGGCCTCTCAGCCTCCCATTTACTGAACTCTGTTTGCATTCAGCTTCTCCCCGTACAAACGTTTAAATAACTGGAAATAAAAACATATTATGCCCTGACATATTATGTCCATGTTAAATCTGTTTTTCTTTTTCAGGACATTTCAGCGAGAACACTCTTAAAGGAGGTTTTATAATCTTTCCAATAAAGCTCTGAAGCAGCACAAAGACAGGGCAGTCAGTCAGTTTTGCACACACAAATATGGTTTCTGCACTTTAAAGCCGTGCTATCAAAATATTGCACTAAAGCAACCAAATTCTGTGCAAAACATCATTTGTTATTGGATTCAAGTATGTTTGGGACTTCTTTTTTCTTCCTTTAGATTTCCGTTATTTTCTTCAACACCAACATGCACTGGCAAAATAAATGTAGTAAACAGAAATGCCCCTAAAATCTTAATATAATATGAACTAAAATATTAATTATATTACTTCATTTTTATTATTAATAATTATAAGAGTTTCTTCAGATTTATAGTTGATGCAAGTGAACCTGTATTTAAAATAGTCTGGTTTGTATTTTCTTTTATCTTGCGTACAGTTGTTCGTGGTTTTCAGATGGATTTGTGGCCAAAATACCATGTATTTTGCATTTCTATCCTAACCGCACGATTTTATGATTAGTTGCATTTATTGTTTGCATTCAGTATTGTTTTTTTTGCCTAAGGCTCAATTTTGGCTCTTGACCCATCAGTTGAGGTCTTGTGGTGTTTTGAGCAAGGTGTTTAAGCAGTCTAGCAGTAAATGTTCTGGTGTTTCAGGAGATGGTTTCGGTGGAGCAGCTGTGAGAGTGTAAAAGCTTTCACTGCAGTGAGCTGCAGAACTGGCTTATCGCATGAGATCCACAGCGTGCCGAAGTCACGTCTCATTATGTTCTTTTAAAACCTGCTCACTGCTCGCAGCACAACCAGACCAGGGAGTTTCAAGCCACGGTTAAGACAGCTGACTCCACTGTGATGTGACCCACCCCCCCCCCCCC